GCTCCGAACCCAGTCATCCGACAAGAAGCGACGAAAAAGACGAAAAAGCAAGGGTACTGATGCAATTTTCCACCGATCCCGATCTCCCGTAATTGACCCAAACTTCCCAGCTTAGGACCCCTCATTGCGACCGCTCAGAAAATTGCGCGTTACAAAAAGTGGTTTGTCACATATGTGATGCCCAGGGGGTTCCAATATTAGCAAGCTCCTGCTTGCTTGTTGACACGTGTCGATTTCTCTAATCGATCGACACGCGGAGCATTTCTCTTTATGCCACGTACCATTTGATTGCATGTGGACGTCATCCAACGTGGCAACACTGCTCTCCTACTAGTTCCTCAGATTGGGCTCTCGACGATCCAAGGACGGGATCTTTCTCGTGCCGCCGCCGCGCAGTAATTAATCGGGAGGGGGAAAGGGAGTCGGTACATGGCGGCATGGCGGGGTGGAGGGTTTATGGGTAGCGGGGGCAGGAGACTTTCCATTCCGGCTACAGTCTCCGGGAGCTCTTGGTAACGAACAATGCGGTGAAAGCGGGGGAAGCGGTTGCCAGTGCGAGGGAGGGACGCGAGATAATCGGGATAGAGGGTGGTGAGAGTCCGAAAAAGTGTCGCGCGGAAACGATTGCGATCTTCGCATGCGAGGATGGTCCCCGTTATCACGCAGTAGACCTCGATCATATTGTGGCCTCGCCACGAGGCACTAAGGAGCAAGACATGGAGGCAGAAGGCTGGGACGGCGCATCGAATGGAGGGGTGGGGGTGCACCACTATAGCGAGGCGAGCAGCGTAGAAGTGGCGGAAGATGCCGCGGGGAAACGGATTGGCGGGGAACGTGATGGGGGTGATGAGTTGGCGGAGGGTGAGGTAGTCAAGGGGACGGCGAGAGAGTAATCGGGGACGAAGGCCGATCGCCCGTATCGGTACGTCGGCGAATTGGGGGACGGGTTGGGGAGGAGGGGGATCGGCTTCGTCGCCGCGTTGATGGGGTCGGAGTCGTGGCCGTGAGGTCGCCATCTTCAGGCCGAGATGGCTTCGGATCTCGGTTCGGGTCGTCGGGGATCTGCAGACTCGCCCTTCGATCTCTTCTCTTTTGCGGGACGCCTCGAGATCCTCTGCTTCTGTACCCGTACGCAACGCTTCTCCTGGCACGGCTTCCCACTCCGATCCAGCAAGCTCTTCGTCGTGCTCCTCTTCTCCTTCCTCGTCTTCTTCTTCTTCTTCGCTTTGTTCCCCCTCGCTATTCTCGCTATAGCTTCCTTCTTCGGGGGTTTCGTCTTCTTCCCCGAGCTCTTCGTCGCTATCCCCGCCTTCTTCCAGCCCGTCTTTGTCTTCGTCACTCCCGGTACTCTCTTCCTCCTCCTCTTCTTCTTGAATGGCCGCAAACTGCTCCGCCGTAGGATGCCTGAAGAAGGCAGGATCACGAATCGTCCGGGGATCCAAATATTGTTGTTGCGACGGCGGGATGCGCTCTGCGGCTCCCTCTACACAAGCCGACCACTGAAGATAGGGTGTCAATGTGCGAGAAAGTACATGGGGAATTGGATGCTCGTCGTCTTGCGAGATGATGTCGAGAGGGAGATCGTCCGCCAGCTGCGCCACCGGGATCATGAGCTCTCGCGTGATAAATTCCTGATGACCGGGCCGCACTGTACCGAATAGGAATGCGAGAAGCTCTCCCTCCACGTTGGTTCGCCAGGCCTGGATGAACAGCAACTCCAGGCGCTCTATTTAAGGCGGGTGCGCTTCGTCTTCGATCCACGTCAGTCGTACCTCAACCAAGCACAGTGAAAGCTCGATGAAGTCTTCGCGCCACAGGACCCAATGGGGAGGATGGATATCGGGGACAGCAAGGGGCTTTAGACAGTAGGAAAGGCGAGGATGGATATCGGACTGCCAAAAGGTGGGGAAGGTGGAGAGGAGATCAAAAGTGGAGATCGGGGAGAGACTCATTGGGGACGTGGGAAGGGAACGAGGACAGGGAGATCTGCCAGTGGCTCGCGCTGATACATCCGCAGGCCGTCGTATTCGATCGCTTGTGTCGTTGCAACTATATCCCCGGGACGAGCCAGAAGCTGGGTCCATTCGGCGACCAGGTCGTTTGCCCACGCGCGCAGCGATGCCTTCACCGCTGAATGTCGTAGGGGAAGGAGCGTGGAGAGATCGCCCCGGAAGTTGATGACGACCGATATACGGCTGACCCCTGGCACCGCTCGCTAATGGACTGTTACTGCTTTGGCGAGTACCACCGCGTCAGGCCGACCTTCAATTTTGAACACCTCCGCCGCGTACACGCCCTCCGTGCAGAAGAAGTGCGCAAGCCGCCGAAGATCTGGACTAAGGTAGGGATGATAGACCTGCCGGATCGTCAATCGATCACGGGGCGCGAGCGCTGCTTCGCTAAGGGCTCTCTCCTCCAGAAAACTCATGGCGATGGTGAGGGTGACGAGGAGGCAGAGAGGGAGCAAGAGGAAGAGGGAGATGGCGGAGAGTCAAAATCGTCGTCTTCGGCTTCCTCAGAAAGAGAGATCGAGGGAGAAGGAGACGGAGCAGAGGGGAGGAGGCGAAGATAGGATACGTGGCATGTGATTGGACGAGCCGATCGACTACCAAAGACTTCAGGGGCGAGACGCACGGTGTCCACGTCGTTGGGACCGAGCTCGATCACGAGATATCGCCCGAAGAATCGAGGCGCTAGCTTGCCCTGGCGAGCACATTTCCTCACCTGCACCACGTCCCCCAATTTGTACTGGGGTCGCGGACCCGCATTCCCATTTCGGACCTCGTAGCTCCGGACCTGCCGGCCTTGGGCTAGTTCGGTCATTTTCTGTCGTTTTCGGGCTAGCCTGGGCAGTGACCGTTTCATTAGCTCTAGGTGTCGTTTGGCCTTGTCCCTAGCCGTGGCCCTGGTGGGCCGTCGGTTCAATGTAGACTCGTCTGGGAGGCTTGGTATTGAAACGCAAGCGACGCTATTGGTCCTTAATTGGAAGGGGCTTAGCCCCGTCGATTCGTGAGGCGTTCCGCGATGGACCGCCAGGATGTGATCGACGATATCGGGCCAGGGTCTCGGATCCCGTGCCGCGATGTTCCGTCGCAATGCTGTCTTTATCACCCGGTTAGCGTTTTCGAGCAGCCCATTGGATTGTGACATGTGGGGTGCCGTGTTCCGTATGGCGACACCATGTATGACCAGGTTCTTTAACACTTCTCCGCTGAATTCAGCCCCGTTGTCGGTCAGGATCTCTTCCGTATTCTGATGCATCCCGAGGAAACGGTTGACATATCGTGCGATTTTCGTGGCTTGCCGCGTGCGGCAAGGATACGTTTCGATCCATTTCGAGAAATGGTCGACAAATACCAACAGGACTGAACATTCGCAACTATTAGGGCCCGGGGGCGCCTCTATGTCGGTAGTGTCCATGCTTACTCTTTGAAATGGTCGTTCAACAACCATGGGCACTATCGATCTTGGTGGTTGAATCGGCGCTTTATCAGCGGCACAGACTTGACAGTTGCCGACGAATCGACGATGTATTTCACATCGTCGCGGATATTGGACCAGTACCACTCGTTTTTGTCGACAGCGGACTCCGTGATTCGTACAACAAAATGAGCCGCAGTTTCCTCGTGGGCTATCTTAACCCAGTCATACCGCATGAACGGATGCGGTACCACCATCCAAATCCCACTGCCGTCCGTTTTCCGTTTTTCTAATCTACCTTCTATCCACCGATAATCCCGAGCCCTTTAGTTGGCCCTCCTCCGATCTTCCTTGGTGAAATCCTGGAGGGGGTTACCTACTAGGGTGGCAATTAAGGCAATATCAGTCCATACTTCGGCTCTTCTAAACTTCCGGGTCTTTTCCAACCCTTCTGACGTGGCATCCAAAAAGCGAGCCTCGGTCGGAATCTTGTCGGTCCGGCACAAGGGGCACAACCACGGTTTACTATCGTTCCTGTATTGGATGCACGAGCCATGGGCTCGTGCGACACATTGTCGGCAATCTATCCAATCCGCATACCCCTCCCCGTTAGGACACATGGAGACCGAATATACGCGGGAGATAGCTTCGCAAAAATAGTAAAATTTGTCAAGCAGGGAGAGGAGAGACGAAGAGGAAGGGGGAGAGAGTGGGGTAGTGGGGTTACCTCCATCACCCATCGCTACCGTTTTGCTTCTTGCCACGTGGAAGAACAGCCACTTGTCCGTATTTCGGCTCGTTGGTCAAGTCCGGCTCTTTCCACGGTGTGATTTCCTCGCCCTTTGGTACCTTGGCAGGTCGATGCAGACGTGTCAGTCCGTCCGCGTTGTCGTGTCTCTCTGTCTTTCGATGAACGATATCGAAGTCGTATTCTTGCAGTCGCACCGCCCAACGGCCAATCATGCCCGTGTAGTTGGTGAGTTACTTCAGCGCCAGCAAGGGTTCGTGGTCTGTCAGGAGGCGAAACTTTTGTCCGTAGAGATACGGATGGAAGTGTTGGATTCCCCAGACTACTGCATAGCATTCGCCTTGAGGTGCGGAGTCGTTTCTTCGTTCGTCCGGTACGGTGCGTGATGCGTATTCGATGACGTGTTCACGCGCATCGTTCCCCTTCTGCACTAGGATAGCGGAAATAGTCTCTGGTTGCCAGTCCGTGATGAGAATGAATTGCTTCGAGGGGTCCAGCCGAATCAAAATAGGGACCGTCGCCAGAGCGTCTTTGAGGGTTGCAAAGGCCTACTGGCACTCCGCGTCCCAGCTGAGAGGCTGGTCCTTCCGTAACAGACTTGTTAGTGGTCGTGCGATCGCGGCAAAACCCTTGATGAAGCGCCGATAGTACGACGTCAGCCCCAGGAAGGCTCGAACCTGCGTCAGTGACGTGGGAACCGGGGCTTCCTTCACCGCCGCAACGTTTCTCGAGTCCGGCCGCAATCCTCCACGTGTCACAACGTAACCCAAGAACGAAATTTCCGAGAGGAAAAATTCGCTCTTCTCAAGCGCAATCTTGAACCCAACGTCTCTCAACGCGCCCAATGTCCATTCGATGTGTTGCGCGTGCCCGTGATAGGTTTCCAATTAGACCAGGATATCGTCCATGTACACGATTACGCAGAAGTTAATCATCCCTTGCGTCAGCCGTTTCTGGTTCTGGAACGTCATGTTCATCTCTCGCTGAAACGCGGCAGGCGCATTGCAAATCCCCATCGGACACCGAACCCACTGCCACGTGCCATCAAACAACACAAAGGCCGTTTTCGGCCGATCTTCTTCCCTTACCAGAATATGATGGAAGCCGTGCCGAATATCAAACTTGCTGAAATAATTAGCGCATCCGATTGCGTCCAACAGATCATCAATCCGGGGAGGGGATACACATCTTTGATCGTGATTTCATTCAGCTTTCGATAATCGATGCAAATGCGAATCGCCCCGTTTTTCTTCGGTACTAACACTACGGGAAAGGACCAAGGTCCGGTAGCGGGTTCAATCCAGCCGTTGGCTTCGAACTCCCAAATTCGTTAGAGGGTCTTTTTGCATTCAATCAAGGAATACTGATAAGGTTTGCAATGAATCGGGGAATGATTTCCTGTCTGAATTTCATGTTGGATTACTAACGACAACCCAATGTCAATGTCTCACACACTAATCGCTCATTGATATTCCGTTAGAATATCCGCAATTACCCCGGTGGATTTCATCCGGCACGTACTATGGAACGTGCAGTTCGAAAAGTTGGTCCCAGATCCGAACGTCAATCTGTTTCGTGCTCGCCTGTTTTGCCAAGTCGGGTGGAGGCGCCGAGATGAACGAATGGTCCGATCGCCAGGAGAACACCGTGGCCATCATCTGGGCATCTTCTTTCCGGATTGCCACGTGTCCTTCCGGAGTAATCCCGTCACAAACATCCTGCCATGACACTTCCTTAGTTGCGATCTTATCCCCAGTCCGTCTGTTTCGGCTTCAAAACGCACAGGAGGTTCCAGAGAGCTTGCTTCCGCCCCCAAGCGTAACAATCTCACTTCTTTGGCCGATGTTAGTAAGGACTTAGGTAGATCCGTAATGTCACAGTAATGCTTCTTGTCGTTGTACCGGGCGAGGAGAGGGGTGATTCCTTCGTACAGGGTTTGAGGGGGTTCCAAAGAGTCGACCATCCTCGAAATCTGCACGAGGGGCTCACCCAAGCTCATCGCCTTGGTCCTTTGAATTTTTCGGCTGGTCAGTTGTAGGCGGCGGGTAGTAAACGCGTTGTCGTACCAATTCCAAGATCTTCGAATCATCTTCGTCACTGCTTTCCGCATCATTTGTTGACGACTTTCCCTCTGCGGATTCATCCCAGGAGATCATGCGGAGAGTCTCTGCCATCATCGGCGAAACCCGCGGAACCGCGTTTATAGTAGTGCGAAGGGTCAATCGCATGGGCACAGCGTAAGGTTTTCCTCCTGTATTTCGGAGGATGATCGATCGTCGTTCGAAGTCCAGGTTTGCTCGTAACGCCACAAGAGCGGGAAGTCCGAAAAGAACGTCGTACATGTTGACATCTAGTACTACGACATCCCCAAGCGCGTGCACTTTACCCAATCGGAAAGCGACATTGGTCATTCTTCCCACGGTTTTAATCCTTTCTTCGTTAGCCGAAACGAGCTGATCTTTCTCAGAAAGCATGATCAGGTCGTTCTTCTTTCCTGCCCTTTCGACCACTCTCAGTGAAATAGCCAACACAACTGCTCCTGAATCTATAATCGCGTTGTAAGGAATT